AGTCATCATCCCTTTATTTCTGTATAATTTTCCCTACTATTCCAGTTAATCAGTATTGCTTGGTAAACAAACAATCTGATTTTAACATAGCCAAACATGAAGCTCTACATCTGGGACCTAAGACCACAAGCTCTATTGTGAGGTTAGCAGGGGAGACACTACCCAAGAAAGCAGCAACTCTGAAAAGGATCTGAGAGGTCAAGTGCATACTCAACTGAGCAAGTGTTTCTGGCACAATGCTCCAGTCTCAAAGGCTTATGACTGTATACAGGTGCCACTCTACCCTGCCTTCCACCAGCTATTACCTCTGTGCACAACGTTGGTCTTGCATGACACAAAATACAACTAATTAATAGTTAAAGTTCAAATTCCAACTTTAGCCAGTTTTATTACTGACATTGTAGATACCAGAAACTAAAAGACAATCTTGTACAAGTGTCGCTACACTAAGGTCTCAGTTTGAGAATGACTGAGTTCACAATGGTGGGTGGTGCTTTCCTCTTAGCAGACTTGATATATATTCATAGATGCTACCAAAACAAATAAACAAAAAAATCTGTCATAGCAAGGAGCTGAAATTTTTGATTATTAGTAAAATCAAGTTCTGGTATAACAGCCTCTACCAGTTCTAAATGCACTATACTTTGCATTCTGAATCATAATGCTTGCCCCAAGTCTGATCACATTAATGGAACTAGCAGGTCTACAAAAGTACACGTTACCATCTTTATTAATGAAAACCAAGTCCAACTCCTGTAAAAGCCAAAGCAAACACCTGAAAATCTATGATAGGCAAGGCCAACCTGGGGCACATGAGCCACAGGTGGCAATAACCTGTGCGCGCTAGGCAGTAAACTGGGGAGGGGACATGCAGCAGAGCAAGGGACAGGGCAAGAAGCAGAAAACAGAGCAGCAGATTGGGTAAAGAGCACACGCAGGGAGCAGAGCAGCAGAACACAGAGCAGCTGATTGGGGAAAGGAAGGGGATAAGAGTGACACCTGCCAAAAAAGGCTGGCCCCAACTGATTTATGACAAGTAAATGCTTAAGGACAGAGTATGCACACCATTTTTCCTCCCAAGGCTCAAGCTCACTCTCATCAACATCTTACCTCATTACCCAGGAGCAATAGAAGTTTTATCCATGCTCCATGCTCACTGCTTGAAAAGCAGTCTGAGTCCTAGTCAAGGTGGAATGATACAAGAGGTTACACTTCCTCTAATAGCCTGTGCACTTTGCTCCAATAACCTTCCTAGGTCCTGCTAGCTTCAGCAAGAAATCCAAAGTTTTTCCTTTGTTCACAGCATCCAAGTGGAATAATATAGCATTTTTCTTGGTTCTAATCATCACAAGGAACAAAATAGAGGGGGGTGTTTCTACCCAAAGCACACTGTCTTCACAACAGGTCCTATTTTTTCCAGAACAGATGCAATGCAAAGGCTTCTCTTTGTCCTCAAGACTCCAAAATATTTAACGTCTGCATTTTAAAAATGTAGACTTGATGAACTGACTACAGAAAATGCTATGCTAAAACCAAACACACAACACATCCCCCCACCCCCTAGAGATCCCCTTCAGTGTAAGCTTTCTGAAGAGCTCTCTTTTGTTTGGGTGCTCTCCTCCATTTCCCAGCTGGTATTTAGGCTTCTGGACCCATCTCTGGAAGTACATTTCAAAGCCTTTCTGAACATTCCCATGTATGCAGCATCCCACTAGGTGGCAGCCATTCTTACATTATTAATGAGATGTGCTCAAAATCCTGGCATGCGTTAACATTTGAGCTTTGAAATGTTCTTTTAAGATTCTGCCACAGGGAACACTTAAAACCATATTTCAAAATGTAAAAAAGGTAATGATACCATATTTACTCAATATAAGACAACCCTCAATATAAGATGACCCCCCAATAACTAGATTCTGTATACAGAAAAAGAGTTGGCACTAAGGGGGACTGAGCACAATGGGCACCACCACATCTTATTCAGATTGGCTGCACTATCCAGCTCAGGTGGTTTTACTTACTTGGTAGGAGAGAGACCATGTTCTAGCAGGTGGTTTTCCCTGCAGAGGTCAGATCACCGTGAATGGCATTGTATAGTAGACAGTGCAGACCTGCCTAATACACTACAAACAGACACCTTTGGGCTGTTGGCTAAAGGCAAGCAAGACTTGGGGGCATCCAAACCCTACGTCCTCTGGGGTTGGGCTTACATGGAGGATAGCTGCCATTGATTAGGAAGTATCTGAAGTCCCAGGCTGAAGAGTCTGGCAGGGAAGATGCTTGCTGGTGGTAGCTCCACATAGGGTTTGAACAACCGAGCTCAGCTCAGTCAATGGAATTTGTAATAGATTTGGCTAATTTGGCCCGAGACATGAAATTTAATTTAAAAACAATTGTTTTTTACAGCAATGACTGAAAGAACTGGGAAAGAAAGAGTCAGGGGTATGAGGTGATCTTAGGGTATAGGAAAGGTCTCCTTGTGACAGGCATGAGTGTTGGTGATGGTCACGCAAGCACACAGACATGGAGGAGCACAGGTGCATGGTGCAGATATTGTGATGGGAATGCATATGATGCAATGGCAATGATGCGTTTTAGACTATCAGGTGATCCACAGTGGCCATAGGATAGTTTTGGCAGAAGCTCTGCAATATATATACATTTTTTACATACATACATACATACATAGGAACATATATTTTTGCAAATAAAAAAAGGTGTTTCTATTTACCTGGCATGGGAGAGCCCCTTCTTGGCTTTGAATGACTTGGTGTAGTTAGAAGGCAAAGGCCTGTCCCTTGCACTGTGATCAGGCTGACCCCTGAGAGAATCTACAAATGCCTCCCAATGGGAAGATCTCAGCTATACAATTTATGGTGATGGGGGACTTCTCTCTGGCTTTGGTTGTCCAATATGGGCCATGTACTTCAAAGTCATTTTCAAGGTTGGCTGTATTTAATAAACTTCATAGTTGGGTTCCATTACTGAGTATACGCTGCTTATGATAGCACAACAGGCAATGCATTTAATGAAGTTTCCTTGTATGAGAATGTAAGATGAGGAGCTTCCCCCCTGCCCACACTGACTGGGGGAGTGGGGCACACCTCATGTTATACTTGAGTAAATACGGTAGTAAAAACTACTAACTAGTCTTTCTTACCAGATGCTCCAAAAAATTACCATATTAAATAAGTTAAGCTCTCCAACTTGACATATGTAACTCTACTCAGGAGACAGCTTAAGTGGCTTTTACTTGAAAGAGCATGGTTGCTCTATTCCTCTGGAGCACCACAGTAGTCCTGTAGAGCTGGACACCCCCCATCTTCCCAGTCACTAAGGAACATAACTACACGTTAACTCGGTTCTATCGCACAAGTATAACAACACTGCCAAAAGAGATTAGGAACACCTCAGGATACAGTGTACAATAATGACACTCTGCTAGAAGTGGGTTCAGGCTCCTGCAGTCAGAGGAGGGAACAGAATCTGGATATGCCACATTCTGGGTTAAGCACTTGATCTCCATGGCTTGTCTTGGTAAGTGGGAAAAGCCAGGCAGGAGCTCCCAGGGCTTGAGGACCCAAACCTACATGGGAATTCTGGGGTTTGTAGGACCAGGCCCCTTAAGTCCCAGTAGAGCATGTTGCCCATTATTCTAAAGCATCAATGGGTGGGACAACAGGTGACGGGTGTTTTGCTCAACAAAGCAGATCAGTTGTGCGAGGACTGACTTCACAGGATGACTTTTCCATTACTAAAATGTCCCAAACTTCTTGAAACCAGTCAGCGATTCTAAGGGTGTCACTTCTCTTTTAGATTTTTGCAATGTAATTCTTGAGGCCAATAAATGGTAAGTGATCAATTCCCTATGACACCTGTATGCTGCAGACGTCTCAGGAAGATTCAGTAAGAATTCCAGGGGTTCTCTGACAGTTGGCATCCTGTTAATTTCCTCAATAGTCTCCAAACTTCTTCCAGAACAGTTTAATTTCCAAAACAGTTTTGGTGCCATCAGGAAACAATTTAATTTGTTGTTTCATAGTTGGTTGGGTCGGAAAGGACCTGAGCAGATCAAGTCCGACACCGTCATGGCAGGAAAGAGCACTGGGGTCAAACGACCCCAGCAATGTGTTCATCCAGCCTTTCCTTAAAGACCCCCAGAGTAGGAGCCAGCACCACTTCTCTTGGAAGTTGGTTCCAGATCCTAGCTGCCCTGACAGTGAAGTCGCGCCTCCTGATGTCTAGTCTGAATCTACCCTCTGCCAGCTTGTGACTGTTATTCCTAGTCACTCCTGGTAGTGCCCGGGGGAACAGGGACTCCCCCAGTGCCTCTTGTTCCCCCTGACTAGTTTGTAACAGGCCACTAGATCCCCCCTCAGCCTTCTCTTCTGGACGCTGAACAGGTTCAGGTCCTGTTGCCTCTCCTCATAGGGCCTGCCCTGCTGCCCCCTGACCATGCGAGTGGCCTCCTCTGGACCCTCTCCATGTTGTCCACATCTCTCTTGAAGTGTGGCGCCCGGAACTGGACGCAGTACTCCAGCTGCGGCCTGACCAGTGCCGCATAGAGGGGAAGGATCACCTCCTTGGACCTGCTCGAGATGCATCTGTGGATGCATGACAAGGTGTGGTTGGCCATCCTGACCACATCCCCACACTGCCGACCTATGTTCATCTTGGCATCAATGACGACTCCAAGATCCTTTTCTGCCTCTGCACTGATGAGAAGGGAGTTCCCCAGCCTGCAGGTATGGTGCTGGTTCTTCCTCCCCAGGTGCAGCACCTTGCACTTGTCCGTGTTGAATCCCATCCTATTCTCATTCACCCACCCCTGTAACCTGTCTAGGTCCGATTGCAGCCTATTCTTCCCTTCTAGCTTGCCCACTTCTCCCCACATCTTAGTGTCATCTACTTGATCCGTCTTACTATTTTATTTTATATTCTGTGTACATTGTAAAAAGCAAACCAGAAACAAAACAATAAATAAAAGCAGAGTAACTTACCCATATTAAATGTTTACATCCAAATTTAAATTCAGGAATTCAAAATACAAGGATGGTATTGTGACTTTTTTTTTCTTAGAATGGCAATTTCTGTAAGTCAGATAAACCTATATGTTATATAAATGACTTTTTCAAATTCTTACACCTCACACTCTTTCAGTTAAGTTTAATATCCTATTTGTTTATATCGAAACATTCATTACCTATTGTTAAACTGTATGCTATTTATATATTAAATTAAAATGGAAGTAAAAATTATAACATTTAAATCTTGGAATAAACAAAACTTTCATATTACTGAGGATTAATAAACTGCTGCAACATTTTCAAAATTACTAACCAGTAACTATTTTTTGATCTTCTACTGATTTAATCACTTAATATTAATCTACTTTATATAAAGTGCCTCCAATACTTGTCAAAAGTAATACTATATAAAACACATTGCTAAAAAAAGACCTTTGCATTGAGAGGTTTGATTACATGATATTTAATCACAAAATATTCATTTTTTCCAGCTGACAGGGTTTTTTTTTTGTTTGTTTTTGAATATTTTAGTGGGGGCACACTGATAGAGATTTTGGGGGCTGATACCAATAGCTGATTTTTAAGGAGGCATATATCAGCTGATACCGATCCAATTTCTGATATACAACCCAACAGCTTGAAGAGCTGCATGCAGCTGGTAGATCTGTTGTGGTGGAAGGGGAAGAGGGAGGGAAGGGGCGTGCAGGAGACAGATTGAGGCCCCTGCAGTAAGGGAGGGAGTGGGGCTGGGGCAGGCGCTGCCCAGCCAGGGTGCGACGCAGGACGGAGACGTGACTCGTCCAGGAGTGCGGGGGGGGGGGGGGGTT